CCATCTTCTTACTTCTCCTTTACAGTTGGCCAAATCGAAGGAGCAGCTTGAGACACTCGGGCCCCCTATAGACTAGCTTTGCTCAACATGTTGTAATCAGAGACTGAAAAAACCCTTTGTTCTCCAATTATTTTGGTCTTTCACATCCTCAAAAATTCTCCTAAGTAGCACACTTCTAACTGTAGGATGAGTCAGGGAACACAAATTCCCAATTCCTTTTTCTGGCTCTGCCACAGACTCATACTGAGACTTTGGAAATACATGTCATCTTTCTGTGCTCCAGCCTACTGTATATAAAATTATAAGACAAATGTAAAGCACAGCAAGTTCCCTGACAGAAAGATGACAAATTATTCATTTACTTATTATTCATGTACTTTGCCACTTATTTTTAGATAAATTGCTCATTTCTCTGTCACAAAAAAGTTTTTTATACCTGTGAACACAAGAAAGCTAAATAAGTCACAATACAAGAATAAAAGAGATGTTTGTCACAGACAACCTCAGAATTGTCCGTTATTTGACTACAAGACCTTTGTAACTGTGATAAGATGTACATGTAGCAGTAAATAAGAGGAGGCAAAGAGTGACAGAAAAGAACTAAGGAAATATTCACTTGGAACTTTCCCATTACCAAGGAAGAGTAAAGACAGAAAGTCTCTAATAAATCTAATTGTAACCTCGAGATGCAGATTAATTTATCTGTAAAGACTCTGAAACTGTAACATGAGTTTCCCAGGAGAAAAGGAAAGAAACATCTTTTGGATCTCAAATTAAGCATATTTGTAATCAACTGCGAAAGAAATATGAGAGCATTGCAATAGCATTTTCAGTGTTTAATGGCTTACGCTTTCATTTGTCTGCCTTCTATAACACACCCAGCAGAGGGCTCCAGGACCCCAGTCTTGCTCGTTGTCCTGAAAAGCAGTATTCCTCCAAAGTTCCTGCAAAATTGGAAATCTCCTTTGGCTTGAGCAGAAAATCTGGGAGCGGTGTGCAGTTTCAAAGAGTGTACAGAAGTTGTTTAAATTTCTGTAAAGCTCTGAGATTGAACACTCATTGCTGTTCAAAAAAAAAAAGACTTCTCAAAATACACTTATTCTAAATTACAAAAATGGGTCTCTGTACAGGACTGAAGAGAAATCACAATTAAAATGCAGTTTGGTTTAGTAAGAATAAAAGCAGTGGACAAAAGTCAAAGGTATGCACTGGTTTCCTAGGCTTAACAACAGGGAAGAGAAAATATTTTGAACAGTTTCAAGGACACATATGAACATGTGATAGGACTAACTAAAAAAAAAAAGGGAAATAAAGCCAGAATATCAAGAAACACATCCCAGTAATGAGCTCCTTTCTTCAGATTAAGCCCCATCACTGGAGCCTTTCAAAGCTAGAGTAGACAAAAACTGTAGAATACCCACTGTAGGGAACATGCATGCATTACGCAGGGGGCAAAAACAGGTGGAAAGGATACTTTTTCATTCTCTGATTTCAATTCAAATATAAAAGAGAAGCACATGAAACAGTTAAAACTACTCACATACAAATATCATCCACCCACATATTAAAATGCCACAGAATTATTTCAAGTACATTTTACAACAAGGAGTTAATAATAAGCTGGAGAAGGAACAATTTTCCTCTGGCTTGATTCAACACACTTGCATTATTTATCATGTTTGTGAAAGAATATGAATCCCACCAAATAATTAGATGGTGTGTAAACCTCCCTGGTTGGCAGCAGCCTGTGACTGACAAGTAGAAGGGCCCTCCAAGAACAATTTCCTGCATTGTCTCTCCCTTCCACCTAGACCCTCAGTGAAGGGTGTGTTTTGTGTGTTTGTATAGGGAATCCCTGTGGAGTTTTTGTTAAGCTTTAGGTCAAAACACTCTGAATTTAACTTTAAATTGGGGAGCTATTAGATGCCATATTTGTTCAAGTATCTATTACCAGTATTACAATACTGGTCATCTTCCATTAGTGTAAATGAAAACAAAAAAAAAAAAAAAAAAAGGAACCACCCTCTTGCATCATTTTGGGTTAGAATAAGGTGAGAAGGTGAAATATCAAAATCCAGCAAAGTATGCTAAAAGAGAGAAGTCTAAGTAGTTGTAGGAGAATTTTAAAATGTGGTGAGGCATTTTAACTTAGATTTTGTCAGACCTCTAGTTCAAAGCCCAGTGTGGTTTTCTCCTCCCTCCATGATCCCCAGGACAGACCACCCTGAACATCAGCCAGGTTGATGGTCAACCTCAAAGTACTTGTAGTAGAAAAAAAAACAAACAAAGGTCCTGTCTGTTGTTGTTCTGAAGCCTGTGACTTACAAATCATAGGATTTGTAAGGATTTACAAACTGTCTGAACCGATGGCATCTGAGAACTCTCAAAATTTCTCATGGGCCTCAAGGTTTCCAAGGAGGTCAAGGAAACTACAAAGCAGACTGAGGTAAAACAAGTAAATCCTTAAATTCTGCTGACTAATAGGGTGCCATGAGCCACCTGTGGAAAAAGCTGGTAGAACCTCATATGCTCTCATAACATAAATTAGTTTAGGAAGTTCTTTTCTAGCTCAGTCAAGAATTGACGAGGGAAGTTAGGTCAGACAAAGTTACCGCAACCGTTTCTCTTAGCTTTAAAGATTGTTAATTTCTAGGGGCGTTACATGTACTGCTTCATTTTCTTCAAAAATTCCCCTTCCACTTCATTGTGATGTTATCCAATTTCCACTGTGTACCTGCCCCAGAAGCAGCTGCATTTTCAGCATGTCCTTTATACAGTGGGGTCACACAAGTTGAAAGCCATCCTAGAAATAGCAGGCTTGTTGGAGGATTTTCCAACTATTTCCCAGACTAAGGTAAAACCAGAGATTGGAAGACAGGTAATACAGCATAGTTGATTAGTTTCAGTTAACGTATGGGTAAGTGCAGCAAAAAAATAGTCAAAAGCAGAATTCAAAGACAGTGAATACTCCTACAATGAAGCATATTCATACAATGTCGAGGGAGGATTACATAATACTTTTAAGTGGAAATAAACAATGGAAACAGACTCCGCTCTTAATGACACTGGAGTGAGTGTGATGTTCCCTACCCAGCTGGCACTACTCTGGATTTTTCCTGGTACCACCAAAGGCAGAATCAGGCTCATTTGTTTGGTATTTAGCAACACATTACTGAGGAGCATGAGTCAGAGAATAACTATACCTTGCTGCTTTAGTATTTTTATGAAGGAGAAGCACCTGGCATCACAGAATTACTTCTCCAAAGCTGCTCCAGGAAGTACCTACTGTCTTCAGAACCAAGTATACCAAGAAGCAGCTCACCTGACTGGGGAAGGGGGACTGCAGCTAGCAAGCAGGGCAAAAGCTGCAGTCCTGTCCCACAGCTACAGCTCTTTTCTAAGAGCCTGAGGCTGCCCTAACATACAGCGGTCCTCCAAATCGCCAGAATAAAGGAATAAGCAGCAGCTTGTCAAGCACGGGGTGGAGCAGGAAGGCTTTTTAGCCTAAGAGGAAACGGAGCCAGGAGACTCTGCATGCAGCTCCCAACCCTTACAAAGACAGCAGCTTGGGAAACACCCTCCAGATGCTTCCACCTGACAAGAGCTTCCGCTAGCGAGAAGCGCCCCAAACAGCAGAGCAGCTTTGCCCCAACATTTGAAAACGTGCTATTTTCACCAGGGAACACGTCTCTTGCACTTGGCGGGGTAGAAAATTTCACATAGTCTCTAGCGGCGTGAGTCCGCAAAGCACTGCCACGTTCCCGGGCCTCACAACGACACTTCAGTACCACCGAGGCCCGGGCACGCTCGCGGCTGCCACCCTGTGCCGCGTTTTCTTTCCTCTCCGCCTTCGCTCCAGGTGCTGCCCCGTACCCCGCTTGCCTTGGGGCCCCAGCCCGGACACCGGCAGGGGCTCTCCAAGGGCACACCGACGCTTGGGAGGCACGCCAGCTCCTCAGGCCTCCGCTGCTCTGGGGTGCCGAGCACGGCGGTGAGGACAACGACCGCCCCGCGTCTCCTGCCCACAACCAAGATGGCGGCGCGGGGACCGCGCCAGCACGAAGCCGCTCTACCCTCCCGCGCCCGCCTCTATGACTGGCGGCGGGCGCGGCCACGTGACGCTTTCAACCGCGCCGCGCGGGACCTGCGCCGGGAGGGAGCGAGGCCGCGGCGGGG